TTTTTTTTTAACTCCCATCGCCCCCCCATCGTCGTTTTTTTTTTGTGGTGGGGGCGTCCCCCGCCTCCCACATTCTCATCGCCTTTTTTTTTTTTTTTATACAGGTGCTCTTTTTTTTGTGGTAAGGCACCCCCCCGTCCTCCTCTTCCTTCTTATTTTTTTATATTTTTTTCTCACACACACAAAAATATTTATCGCGCGGGTGGGGCTTAGTCGTGCCTTCCACTTTTTTTTTTTTTTTTTCAGCCCCCCCCCGTTTTTTTTTTTTTTTATTTTTTTTATAAAAACAGCACACCCTCCGTGGCTGTTCGCGCGTTCTCCCCCCTACAAGAAGGCTACCCTACCCTACCCTACCCACCACCACCACACACACACACACACACACACACACACACACACACACACACACACACACACACACACACACACACACACACACACACACACACACACACACACACACACAATCGCACAATCGCACAATCACGTAATCGTGCACGAAAGGCGGCCGTCGGTGGTGCGAACATCACAACGGACACGGCTGCACAGGGTGCGGCGCTCGCTGCGTATGCGGGCGCATCTGTTGAGCCGTTCAACTCAACCATCACCCAACAGGAGCAGGCCCTGGGCATCACCTTCAACACCACGGGTCTCGCCGCTGCGCGACAGGAGGCCGAGACGCGCTTCGCCCTGAACCTCGCCATGAACGTAACAACATTCACTGCCGCAGACGTCACAGCGGTGGAGAACGCCTACAGCACAGCCGCCCCCGGCGCCAGCAACGCCTCCGAGGCCGCAGCAACCGTTGTCACCGCTGTTGCTGTCGAATTTCAGCTGGCACAGGCCGCCCTGCCCGCCGTGGTTGAGGCCGTGCTCACGTCCCTGCAGGCACCGTCGCTGCTTTTTCCGGACATTGTCACACTGAACGGGACGGTGCGCCCACTGCCGCGCGGATGGGGCATTGATCGCTTCCCTTGCAGCCGCTCCACGGGCCTGGACGTGTTTCGGGAGGGCGACTTTGACCTTCCATATCGCATGAAGCAGCTGGACCGCATGTCGCGGTACATGTACTACTTCTATACCCTGCCCTACTTCCAGGATGCAGTGGAAGATGCAAACTGTCTCGAGACATCCCTCCTCGCCCCGCTGCGCAACGGTACACCAGTGCACGTGCTTATGTGTGTGTGTGTGTGTGTGTGTGTATGTGTGTTTGTATGTGTGTGTATTTGTTCGTGCTTGTGTGTTGGTGTGCGTGTGCATGAGCATGTGTGCGTGCGCGCATGTGTGGATGTGCAGATGTACCTTTGTCTCTTTGTCTTTTCCTCCCTCCCCTCCTCTTTTCTCTCCTCCTCCCTTCCTCCCTCCCTCCTTCTGCCTGTTTGTGCGTCACCACACCCAACCCCAGTGAGCCTCGCTGCTGATGTCACGCTTATCCTTATTCCTCCACCTCTCCCATTCCGCTTCACCAGGCATCTATTTGGAAGGGCTGCAAAACTACCCGGCGCTGTACCAGCAGATCAACTTTGATGCCATTGCCGCGGCGGAGGCAGCGTATCTCGCCAACGCGGCAGACACAGACGCAGCAGAGCAGGCGGCAAAGGATGCATTTGTGGCCAACGGTTTCTTCATTGGCATCGATGACCCCTTCAATCCCGTCAACCTCACCACCCCAGCAGGGCAGGCGTTCCTCAACACCACCAGCGGCACGACCGTGCTCGACGCCATTGCCCGCGCCGTGGGCACTTCAGCTACATCTGTGGTGCAGGTGGACTCGCAGTTTGTGCAGATTGTGGAGGCGTTTGTTGGCTTTGGGTTCTGGTACCGTCCCACGTATGGGTCGCACCCGCTCGCCACCGCAACGCTCAGCGACGCCGAAATCGTGGCCGTGTACGACAGCGCCATCGCGGCCGCCCCCAACCCCGACATCACGGTTGCGGAGTGCATTGCCGGCAACACGGATGCCAGTACCTTGCAGGGGGACCCCGTGCTCTCGTGCTTCCTCACGTGGTCCGGCCTCAAGCTCCCATACGAGCTGGCGCTCGGCCCGCTCACGTTTGAGAACGCGACGGCGAGCGTGCCCTCTGCCGCGTCCGGCCGCCTGGTGAGCGTGCGGTCGCAGCGCACGGGCGGCAACAACTACAACTCGGAGCACCACGTGTTCCAGGACAGCATTGACGAGCTGCTGGACAAGACGACGACCAAGAGCGAGCGAGAGGCCATCCACCGCCGCTTTGAGCGAGCCGTGGCAGACCACTACGACGCCCTGTGGAAGCGCAACGCGGGCACGGGCTTTGCTGACGGCGAGGAGTTTGAGGACCAGAGGTTCTACTTCACGCTCGAGCGCTCCATTCCAGACACCGTGGCCGAGGCTGGCAAGATTGAGCCGGGCCTGCTGGTGGGCGGGTTTCTGTGCTTGCTGGCGTATGTCATGCTTGTCTCCGCCAACTTCCGCAACGCCATCTACAGCCACGCGTGGATTGCCTTTGCCGGCGTTGTTCTCATCACGGCCTCCACTGCCGCTGCTCTTGGCTTCTCTGCATACTGCGGGATCGATTTCACCCCCATCTCCAGCAACGTCGTACCCTTTGTGGCGCTCGGTGTTGGCATAGACGATGTCTTGGTCATTCTGGCCGCGTTTGGAAACGCGGTCCTGCGGCCCGCCAGCGACCCCGCTGACGTCATCAAGACCACCATGGCCGATGCCGGGCCAAGCGTCTCGTTCACCAGCCTCACCAACTTTGTGGCCTTCTTTATTGCGTCCGCCACCCCCGTGCGCGTTGTGCAGCTCTTCTGCTACCAGATGGTCATCTCCGTCGCTCTCAACTACGTGCTCATCCTCACCGTCTTCGTCCCACTCCTGTACCTCGAGGCTCGCCGCGTGCATGCGCAGAGACCAGAGGCCCTCTGCGTGTGCCACCGCCCCGGCACGCCTGTCCCGAAGCAGGCGCACCCGCTGCTGGACCGCTTCTTCAGCCGCCACATTGGCCGCGTGCTCATGACCACCCCTGCCCGCGTGCTGGTGCTGGTGTGCGCCGCCATCGCCATTGGCCTCTCCATCTGGCAGGTGTTTGACATCCAGCGCGGCGTCCTGTTTTCCAGCGTGGCCACCGAGGACAGCTACCAGTACGATTTTGCCGTGCGCCTGGAGAGCGACTTCACCATGTACAACGGGTACCTGGTCACGGAGTCGGAGGATTTCCCCGCCGCGCAGCAGAACATCCTCAACGCGGTGGCGTCGCTGCAGCAGAGCCCGCGCGTGGCGGACAGCGCCCCCGTCGCCAGCATCTTCTGGCTGCACTCCATGCTGCTGTCGCAGACCGGCAACTCCACGCAGCCCGTTGCGGAGGATGACTTTTACCCGCAGTTCTCCGAGTGGCTCGCCGCGCTCGGCATCACGTTCCTGCCCGATCTGTACTGCATTGACTCGCGGTACGACACCCCCGTCAGCTGCTATGACATTGTCGGCGCGTTTTCCACCCCGCGCGCCTTTGGCTCCAACGCAAACGTGCGCCTAGCTGCGTCGCGCGGGCTGTTCTACATCAGCAACGTGCGCTACCAGGATGACTACCTCGATGCCATTCGCTCCACGCGCAGCTACACGGATGCCGCCAGCGACGCGTACGACAACGAGGACGACCCTGATTACCGCAGCTTTGTCATCTCCTATGTGCACATTTTCTGGGAGCAGTACCTGCACAGCTACCGCGACCTGTATGTTGTTGTTGGCCTGTGCCTGCTCGGCATCTTCGTGGCCACGTTTCTGTTCCAGTTCTCCTTTATCACCTCCCTCCTCCTGTGCATCGTCATCTTCATCGTGGACCTGGAGGTGTACGCGCTGCTGCCTGCGCTCGGGCTCACGCTCAACGCCTTCTCCACCACCAACCTGTGCCTGGCTATTGGCATGGCTGTTGAGTTTACGGCGCACGTGGCCCACCAGTTTCTGACAGAGGCTGGCGAGTCGCGTCCACAGCGCGTGCGGGCGACGCTACGCTTCATGGGCACACCGCTCTTCAACGGCGCCATGTCCTCGCTCATTGCCGTCCTGTTCATTGTCGGCAGCCGCACGGGGTTTATCCGCGACTACTACTTCTCCATGTTCTTTGCCACCATTGTCATTGCGTTTCTGAACGGCATCATCCTCCTGCCCGTGCTGCTGAGTCTCGTTGGACCCGCGCCTCTGGACGAGCGACACAAGGCGGCGCAGGAGCTTGCAGACGACAACGGCAACAACGGCGACGATGCTGGTGGTGGCAAGGCGTACGATGGTGGCGAGCACGGTGGTGTGACGCCCAGCAGCACCATGGAGTTGGTGGGCAAGAGCAGCGACCAGGACACCACGACGGCGCCCTCGTTTTCTGCTGCCGTGGAGAAGCAAGAGCTTGATGAAGAAGAGAAGGCAAAGGAACAGCAAGCGAAGGAACAGCAGCAGAATGGCGACGACGCCGCCAAGCAAGACGTTGTTCATACAGCCATTGTGTGAATGAACATGATGTGCGTGCGTGCGTGTGTGTGTGTGTGTGTGTGTGTGTGTGTGTGTGTGTGTGTGTGTGTGTGTGTGTGTGTGTGTGTGTGTGTGTGTGTGTGTGTGTGTGTGTGACTGTTTGCTTGCGACTGTCGAAATGCCTTTGATTCTGTGAAAACTACATGTCTTGTTTCATCGACCGCATGCGTTTCCTCTGCTTCTGAACATGCATGTGCACACCCCTGTTCACGTGGTGTCCGTGGTTCTGCTTTCCATTCCACCACCAGTTATGACCGCAATACATGAGCACGGCACCGTTCATGGCTGGAGGTGCTGCTGATGATTCAGTCGGTGTGGAGAGAGACGATGCACAGTGATGACCGAGTTTATTGGTTATGGTGCACGTTCAGAACATGGCACTCGCAATTGAATCATCGCATCTTGCTTGCACCTGCACGCAATCAAACTATCTCCACAAGACCACACTCAAGCACACCCACGCAGACACACATACACACTCTGCGCGTGTGCACGCAACCTCACAATGTCTCCTCCACTTCATCTCCATCTCCATCCTCATTCCCGTTCCCCTTCCCCTTCTGCTCGTTCTGCTTCTGTCCTATTGCCTATTGAAACTCGCGTGGAATTTCTTCAATAAGATGTGGGTTGTGCGCCAGCTGCTCGACTTCCTCCAGCCGTAAACTGCTGTGCAGGATGTGCCGCGAAATATCAAGCTTCGTCCCCTGCATGTGCGTATGTGTGTGTGTGCGTAGATGTGTACGTATGTGTGTGTATGTGAACGGGGAAGCATTTGTGTGGCATTACACACAACGCGTGATGTAACCTCAGGCAAGAGGAAGCAAGGGTCGGCGAGTGAGCAACTCACACTCGATTTAAGGCCGAGTCCTTTGGCCAGCATCTTCAAATCGCGGCCCTTCAACTTCAGCAGCTTCTCCTGCGGACATGAAAACATGTGTGTGTGTTATTGTTGTTGTTGTTGTTGTTGTTGTTGTTGTTGTTGTTGTTGTTGTTGTTGTTGTTGTTGTTGTTGTTGTTGTTGTTGTTGTTGTTGTTGTTGTTGTTGTTGTTGTTGTTGTTGTTGTTGTTGAGATGGAGGATTATCGTTGTGCGTGAGATGTGTATGTGTGCGTGTATGGCTGAGGTTGTGACCTTTGAATGGGCGGTCAGGACCCACGCGGCTTGACGCAGGACGCAATGCAATATACAAACACAACAAACAAATAGCATGTGTTAAGACAACGCACCAGGACTTGTGCTCTCGTTGTTGTCTGGAGACCAAGGCGCCCCGCATCCTTTGTGACTCTGCGATCGCACAGCCAAGGGTGAGGATGGGTGATGTTATGCCTTCTTGCGTGCTCTCGCTCTCTCACACACGCACACACACACACACATGCACACGCACGCGCACGCACGCACACACACACACATTCACAAACAGAGCAGAGCAACAGCACTAGATGCAGCCACGCTGGTTGTACCTGCGGTGGATGGCGGACACAGTGCCCGTTGACGTCCAGAATCGGGCGTGGGCGCCGCGATGCGTTCCCTGACGACGCGACAGCACGTGTTGATCAGCACGCTTCGTCATCGTCGTCAGCACGTCAACGAGTGGGCTGGTGCAGGCGGTGGTGGTGGTGGTGGTGCAAGGGAAGAGAAGAAGAAGAAGAAGAAGCAGAGGAAGAGCAGGTGATGGCTGTCATGAGGATTTGGGTGGAGAGAGACAGAACACATGTACACGAGTGGACACATGACACAGGATTCACGGCCTTTGTCACCCAAAAAAAAAAAAAAAAAAGCAAGCGCGAAGATACGAAAGTAAAGGAATGGGGAGCTGTACACAGACATTGAGCACGCCAGGCAAACCTGGTGAGCGCGCGTGCGTGTTCGCGGGCCGCTTCCTCCGGTGTTGTCGATGGGCTGCCATCAACTCGCGCTGAATCTTCAGCAGCGGTCGAAGAAAGAGGAGAGCCTGGAGGTGGTGAAGAAGATGATGCTGGTGCCGTTAAGGAACTGACACTGCTGCTGCTGTTGGTGGCCCACATCGACATCAGCTGATCGTGCAGGCTTTCGCCTTCCACAACTCCACTACCGTGCTGCGGCGCCACCACGTCCTCGCTACCCGTTGTCCCACCACGACTCTCACCCTCTCCGTCACCTCCATCACCGCCAACTCGCTGATCTGCCAACCATTGCGCATCATCGCCACTGGACAGATCGTCCGCCACATCCCCGCCCGTGCCGGTGTCCCTGAGCATTTCGTCTTCTTGCTGGCCACCTGGTGCGGCCTCACCACTTCCTTCGCCCGTGCCCGCCAGCACCTCATGATCCTCACTATTCTCACCATCATCACCACCGTCGTCGCTGCCCTGGTGATGTACGAGCGACTGCTGTTCATCCATCACCTCCTCATCAATTGTCTCACGATGTGTTCCCATGGCCAGTTCGTCCGATCTTGCTGTCCCCACGTCATCCATCCATGCTGTTTCTTCGTGCAGCCGTGACTGCTGCTCTTGCTGCCGTTGCAGCAGGAGCACTTGCTCTTCTCTCCGCCGCAGCGCTTCCTCCTTCTCCTTCAGCTTCAACGTCTCCTTCGCTGCCAGGGCCTCTGTCAGTTCGCTCACAGCCGCGTCGCACGCTTCCGCCATCAGCACAAACGCGTTGGTGTCGGTAACATAGTTGTCACCAACGCCCCACTTGCTCCTCAGCTCATCCACCATGCGCTGGAGCGTGTCGCGGCTGCGCAGTGCAATGTCGTTGTCTGAAGCGAGCGCAAGCACGCCGTTGCACACGCCCAGCACATCCAGCAGCGTGCTGTCACGCACGATTCGGTCAATGTACAGCGTCGACACGCCACGCAGCACCCGCTGCACATGCAGAGCAGCCAGTGCAGCTTCCTCCTTGGTCAGCTTCTTGCCCTTCCTCTTCTTCCCTGACTTCTTCTCAGCTGCTGCTGCTGACGATGATGATGATGATGATGAGGGGGAGGAGGAGGAGGATGAAGTATCCTCACCAGAGGTGTGGTTCAGGTTAACGTCATTATCATCGTGCATGTCCTCCTCGTCCTCGTTCTCTTCTTCCGCCTCAAGTGCCTGCAGCTCCTCGCCGCGTGCAGCCTTGGAGGAGGGGGAAGGGGGGAGGGACAGCGGACACCGATGCACGAAATGAAACGTGGTCGTGGTCAAAGGTGAGGAGGCGACGCGACACGACACAATCAAGCAAATGCACATGAAAACACGCGCGTGTGTGTGTGGTTACATGCAGGTCAACCAAGAACTTACAAACACATGCAAACGTAAAGAGGCGCTTGCACACATGCACACAGGCACTCGGCATATAACACACGCGAATACGATATCTCTTCTCTCTCCATCTCTGTCGCATCGTCGCACCATTTTCTCGAGCTGGCGCTGGGCCATTGCGCGCTGCGTGGCGAGAGATCGGTCACTCGGCGCCTCCGTGATGAACCGATTCGCTGCGAGAGGTGTGTATAGATGTGTGTAGGTGTGTGTAAGTGTGTGTAGGTGTGTGTACGTGTGTGTACGTGTGTGTTTGTGTACGTGAAGGTGTGTGTGTGTGTTTGTGTACGTGTGAACATGTGTGCATATATGTGTGTGTGTTACACACAGAGACAGCGAGCAGGTGCCGTGCTGTCAGTGTTCGCTTGTGTATCTTCGTGGCGTGCTCTATCTGCCATGCGCATCGGGAGGAATCAGCAGCACATGCCGTACCCATATCAAAGTGCGTGCGTTCGGCGAGACTTGACGCCTTGAGTTGCATCACCGGAAAATCGGACCGGTAGCGGAACATGGAGTGGCGGTCGCGTCCTGTCAGCATCGAAAACGCCCTGTGCTCCGTCACGCCCATGTTCTTTGTGTGCGCACACATGACACGGGGAGAATGCATTAATGGGTGCCAAGCAAACACGTGCGTGTGTATGTCACATGGGGCACAAAACCAATACTGCCACTCGCAGACAGACGCATGCACGAATGTGCACCACCTCAGTCTTGATGCAGCCATACAACGACAACTGCCTGTCCATCCACGCACACACGCACACACACAAAAAAAAAAAACACGCACACACGCACGCACTCAACCACATAAGTCCAACTCCCCCTGCAATCCATTTCCCCCCCCCCCCCCCTTTTGAGCGTCACCGCACCTTTGCGGCGAATGCGAGGTTGGCCATGTCGGCCGGCGAAAAGCGCAGGAAGCCGCTGATCTCTGGGAATACCGGCTTGTTGTCCACAAACTCCACCCGCACACCCTCCTCTGTGACCAGCACAGTTGAGCGAGCGTGGTCACCACCAACATCATCCACATCATCCACATCAGCATCACTCTCATCATCGTCATCGCCATGCAGAGTACTGCGATCACTGCTACTCGCCGCTTCGCCATCCAGCGACCCCTTGTGTCCAGCCACCTCCCTGTCCCGCGCGCCCTTGTCCAGCGTGTCCGCCTCTGTCCTCTCCTCCTTGGCGAGCCGGCGCAGCTCCCGTTCATCAAAGAGATCGCGCATCGCTGCTCGGTCGAGCACGGTTCTGTCGAGGATGGTGCCGCTCGTCACGCCCGCGTTGTATGCGTCCGTCATGTGCACGGCAGCGCGCCGCATGCGCAGCAGCCGCAGCACCGCAGCCAGGTACGGCCCAGCCTGGCGATGGTGGTGATATGATGATGGTGATGATGCGGTGGTGGTGAGTGTCAAGAATTGATGACCAACAAGGCAACAGGGGGAATGGGTGCCCGGACCACAAGGATCGCAATCGTTACGGCAAAGGCCACCACCAACTTTTCATGTTATCACCGTGCATGTGCTCGCGTCACACCTGGTGTGGACGGTGGTCTGCGTCGACGCGTCCAAGCGACCACGCAATGACGCCGAGCGCTGCTGTCGGGGCCTGACGCACGACAATGACGATGACAGCGGTAGTGGTGAGAGTGGGATTGAGGAGGAGCCGGGCTCTTCTGACTATGAGTGTGGGCGTATCATCTCAAAGGGGAAGCACAGCCATAGACACACACAGACACATACAGACACACACACACACACACGTTTGCACACGTGCACGAATTCTTTCAACTATCACACACACACACACATATACACACACACACACACACAAAGGAACATGTGTACCTCGTCCACGTGCTCGAGTGCGGTTTCGACGACGGGCGCGAGAAGAGCGCAGCAGTCACTGCTGTCGCTGACATGTGTTGCCATCAGCGCCACCGCCGCCAACGTCGTGTGGTTCTCGAGTTCAGGCACCCTGTTGCGTGTGCGCAAATGAAGAGGGGGGTCGTGTGTGCGTGTGCGTATGTGAATTACAGATCAAGTGCAGTGGAGGCAATATCCGTCTATCGAATGAGACGCAGAAAGTGTGACATGAGAGCACGCTCAAGCAATCATCCAACACAAAGACACACACACACACGCGGACACAGACGCACACACACACACACACAGAGGCCCACTGACAGCATCTGGGGTGCGTCCTGGCGGGCAACAAACGCGGCGACGGCGGTGCCAATCAGCTGCCGCTGGGAGGCGGGAGGCCGCGTGTAGTCCTGTGATGGCGATGGTGTTGGTGATGATGGTGGCGTGATTGATGTGTGATTGGTGGTGGTGGTGCAGAATGTGAAGGTGTGATTGATGCAATGGCATAAGGTGCGGTGTTGTGCCATCGAGCAACGAACACGATGATGAAAATCACAGGTATGCACCAGATGTCGCACGCGCATTCACCGAAACACCCGTGCGCACCTGTGCAGCCACTTTGACGGCGAGGGCGAGATTGCGAATGCATTCCACATCCACTGTATGCGCAGCCTATGTTGGGTTGTTTGTGTTGGAGGCGAAAGGGAGGTCATGACGACAGTGGTGGAGGAAGGATTAGGGTGCTCGTGGCCAAGAGCATACAGTGTCGCTCCGTGCGTGACACACACGCACACAAACACAAGCACATGTGTGGACACGGATGCAAATTAACATGCGCATACATGTTACACGCACGCACACACACGCACACACACACACACACACTCTCTCTCTCTCTCACCCACACCCACACCCCCACACACACTCACACACATAAACACACACACGCTCTCTCACACTCACACATATACACACCCACACCCACACACACGTACACGCACACACACACACACACACAGCGTCAACCCCAACCTTCCTGGAGGTGGAGATGTGGCGGTCAAATGCTTCAAAGATTAGCGGGCTGTCAAGGTGGAAGATGGAGTGTAGAAGAGCAGACTGCGCCAACACACGCACGCGTTCATCGCCACCCGCGCGCGTCTGAACAGTGACAGATGCATTGATGCGTTGATGTACGGCCACGCGTGAGCGAAAGAGTGCATGTGCCAACTGTTTCACTAGATGCAAATAAGCACGCAGACAATACAACCCACCCAAACGACACACAATACACAGCACCCCCTCCCCCCAATGAACAAACCAACCATCTCCCTCATCACATCACAACGGGCGTCAGCGGTCACCTGTGCGGTGTCATCGGACACATCATCCACATCATCCACAAAGTCGTCAATGTCATCAACGTCATCAACAGCGTCGTCGGCGTGTCCGGGTGGGCCGTGCTCAAGGGCGGACTGCGCACCAAACGCTGCTGTCATGACGCCCTCCAGCAGGCGCTGCATGGCGCGACGAAGTTCAAGACACGACCGCAGCTCTGCGAGCACACCCGTGCTCACATGGCCCCGGTCCCGCCGGCTCTGGTGGCGTTGGGAGCGCATTGAGAGGGGGAGCGTGTATTGGGCAGTAGTGGTATTTGTGGTGGTGTTTGTGGTGGTGTTGTGTTGAATGAAAGGTAGGTGTGAACGCCGCAGTTGCGCCCAAAACAGACACAGCATCACAACCCTCAACACTCAAGCCAGTCAGCTCCGCAAGCAACGCCATCCATTATCACCACCACCACCACCACCACCTCCTCCTCCTCCACCACCACCATAATCACCATGATCAACATGATCGCCATCGCTCACCATGAGGAGGTTGATGACGGCCGACTGGACGCTGGACGCATCATCGAGCGCAACGCTGCGTGTGGCCGCCAGCTGCTGGCACAGGACTGCAAACCCGCGATGGCGCAGCACCTTGTGCCACACGCGCGGAGAGATGCGGGCAAGGCCTGCAAGGGCAGCGGCAAGCACGCGCGCATCCAGACTGGCGTCAACACCAGCAATGCGGCGGTGATAGGAGAGGACGTCGAGTATCGACCGCAGACGGAGGGCAAGTACGTGGCGGTTGCGCTGCTGCTCCTCCGCCGTGCTGGGCGCCGGGATGGTCTCCATGTGGATGGCGGTGTTGAGCGCACGCATCTTCTGCGCAACCACATCAAACGCGTCGCGCGAATACGGATGCGAGGAATACGCGGATTGCGACGATTGGGTTGCAGGGGACGACGGTGAGAAGGATGAAATCGATGATGGCGACGGCCATGACGGTAGAGGCTGGTGCTGTGGCTGGTGTTGGTTCTGTTCTCGCTCCTGGTGAAGCCGCTGCGTGATGTTCACGTGGCTCGGAGGCTGATGCTCATGCTGCTCACCGCCACCGACATCATCATCAGCGTCAAAGTTGTTGTAATCGCCGTCCTCATCGCTGAAATGACGCAAGTCTTGCTCCAATTCATCGGGGGTCACGCCGTACATGGCATAGTGCTCGTTATCTTCCTCCTGCTGTTCATCAGGGCTGCCCCACGCTGACGCAGATGCACTGGAGGTCACTGGTGGCGACGCTGCAGTTTGGTTTTTGCTGCTGTCACTGTCACTGTCGCCGTCGTGGTTTTGCGTCTGGGCGGCCGCCATCTGCTGCACCATGCTCTGCAGCATGCCTGGTGCTGCTGATGTTGATGTTGAAGCTGGTGAAATTGACCCTGTGTTTGACGCGGTTGTAGTTGATGCTTCTGCAGTTGAGATGGTCTGTGAGGGCAGGCGGCTGGCGGCGTCAGACGAGGAGGTCGTGGAAGCAGACGTTGTCGTGGAGTCGACAAGGGGCTGAGCTATGGTATCTGGCAGCAAGGCCCATCCCGAGCGCCCGCCTGTCATGCGAACGCAGAACCAATTTTCTCCATCCACGACGCGAGACTCCAGAAGGGACATGTATGGCTGGTCTGCTGGCCGAACGACGCCCACCCTGAGAGCAGATCGCGACGGCTGCTCCCTCAGCGCAACTTTCACTTGCTGTGAAGGCTGGTGCTGGTCTTGTGCGAGGACACGGCGACCTGTGTGTGCGTGCCGCCTGCAATGGCGGTGGGACGCTCGCCGTCCATGCCTGATTCGCAGCACTTGCTGCGTCACCTGCGACGGGTCTCGCAGCTTCCTCCACAACGACATCACAATGCTTGGATAGGTGTGCGTGTGTGGTGAATGTGTGTGTGTGTGTGTGTGTGTGTCTGTGTGTCTGTGTGTGTCTGTGTGTGTGTCTGTGTGTGTGTGTGTCTGTGTGTGTGTGAGCACGTTGCGCTGTGTTGTTGGGCTGCTTCGCGCAACGTGGGTTGTTGGCGATTGGTAGAAGATGCGAGTGAATTTTCTACAGGCAATTGCCGAAACCGACAGCAGCCACCAACTGCACAGCTCCAATCTCCACAAGCACCAAGCACAGGCACCAAGCAGCCTTTTTGCTTCTTGCCCCTCGACGCACACAACACAACACCACCCTCCCTCTCCCTCCCCCCCCCCCCCCTTCTCTCTCCGTCCTCCTTCTCCGTCCTCCGACCTACCTACACACACGCCCGCAGCGCGTGTCTTGGCGAGATGGCTCGGCACATATCGGTGACGATTGCAAGGGAGATGGAGGAGCAGCTGACCGCTGTGGAAAACCATCTCCGAAACAACGTGCATGTGCACAACTTGGTGGTGATCCACACCAGCGACAACTCGTTGTTCCGCTTCCAGGCAACGAACCGGCGCGCCCGCGAATGCATTGAGGCCTTACAGCGGCTCGGCGTTGGCCACGCCTTTGGCTCCATGGAGATTATGGACGTCAAGTCTGTGATTCCCCGCATCTCCAATCACCCGACCATGGTGCGCGGGCAGAAGAAGCAGCGCGAGTACAACCCCACCAACTCCCTCACCCTCGAGGAAATCTACGAAACGGTCGAAAAGGGCTACCGTAAGTGTGTGTGTGTGTGTGTGTGTGTGTGTGTGTGTGTGTGTGTGTGTGTGTGTGTGTGTGTGTGTGTGTGTGTGTGTGTGTGTTTTCGACGCTACCTACTCCCTTTGGCTATGCCCGCTTTGCTGCTGGCTGGTGTGCGTAGCCACTTCGTCTCGCTTGACTTGAACTGACCTTTGTTTGTTGTCCTCTGCTCATCGCTGCACCTGCGCCTGCGCATAGACTTGACGTTTGAGTACTTGGGCATGTGCTCTGCGGCCTCGATTGTGTGTGCGGTGGGCCTCGTCACAAATAGCGACCCGTCTGTCGTTGCCAGCATGCTTCTCTCCCCTCTCATGGTATGGCCGTCTTCCTTCGCCACAACACGGTGTTTCCTAGTGGTCACACACACACGCACGCACTTGTGCTTTTGCTCACCCCCACGCACATTCACACATTCACACACACACACACACACACACTTGTGCTTTTGCTCACCCCCACGCACATACACACATTCACACACACGCACATACACACATTCACACACACACACACACTCGCATGCACACTCCCGCACGCACACTCTCTGTGGACATTGCTCAGGGCCCAATTCTGGGGATCACGCTTGGCACGGCGTGCATGGACTGGGGCGTGACGCTCAAAGCGCTGCGGAATGAACTGATTGGCGTACTGCTCACGCTTGCATTTGGCATCATTACTGGGTTCATCGTCAGCTTCTATGGCGAGGAGGAGTGGGAGACGGACCAGATGCAATCGCGCGGCACGGTACGGAAGTGTCGTCGCCTTGTTGTGCTTTGTCGTGACATGCTATGTTGCGTTACGTCCTGTCTATTCATCCATTCCATCCATTCATCCATTCCATCCATTCCCTCCATTCACCCACCCACCCATTCATCCACCTATCCAGCCACCTATGTTGCTCCTTTGACTTGTTTTTGTCTCCGCTTGCCGTCATCCACTCACATCCAAGCACGCGTGTGCGTATGCGTATGCACATGTGCCCGCTCACCCTTCGCCCCTGCTCGCTCCTCTTCGTCCACAACACGCGCAGGTTGGCGGCCTGGCCCCCGGCGTTCTGATTGCGCTACCGTGCGGCGTTGCGCTTGCCATCTCCGTCACCTCTGCAGACAGCACCATTCTGGTCGGTGTCGCTATTGCCGCTGCCCTCCTCCCGCCCATTGTCAACGCGGGCCTTGAGTTTGCCTTTGGGCTCGTCAAGGAGCTGCCCCTCACGCCAGAGCAGGAGCCCAGGCACCTCAAGCATGGTGAGACAGCGGTGGTGGTGGTAATAGTGGTGGTTTTGTTTGGATGTGTGTGTGTATGTGTGTCAATGTGTGTGATCAACATCCACACCATCCTCCAGTCACACTTCATCATCATCATCATCATCATCATCATCATCATCATCATCATCATCATCATCATGCTTTGTACGGTCACCAGCCGCCAACAGCTTCCTGCTGTTTCTGCTCAACTGGATTGCCATCTACTTTGGCTGTCTCCTCGTCTTTGCGGTCAAGCGCGTGCAGCCCCGCATCTACCACGCTAAACCGGTCAGGGAGAGAGAGTGTGTGTGTGTGTGAGTGTGTGTGTGTGTGTCTGTGTCTGTGTGTCTGTGTCTGTGTCTGTGTGTGTCTGTGTGTCCGTCTTGTCTGTCCGTATTGATTGTCCGTCTTGTCTGTCCGTCTTGTCTGTCCGTCTTGTCTGTCCGTCTTGTCTGTGCGCGTTCGTCTGTCTGACCCACATCTCTTCATGCGCACGTTTCTATCACCACTACATAACCTCTTAACTCCCACCATGCTCATCCCCGCCCCCCCAAAAAAAAAAAACCACCACTGCCACCACCGTTAGCGCGCGGAGACGATCCGGGCGCTGGCTGATGCGCCCCTGCCACCACCATCATCATCACTGGCCACCAACACCGCTGACGGCGACACCCGCGCTGCTGCTGTTGCTGGTGGTGGTGCTGCGACGGTCACGCTCCTGTACTCCGACGACGACGATGATGATGATGATGATGGTGATGGTGATGGTGACGGTCACAACGATGGTGTCAACGATGGTGTCAACGGGCATTCCACTGCACACGGCGGTGCCATACGCCAACACCGCCACCGTGGTGATGGCCGCACGAGGGGGTCGGCGCTGCGCGTGACGACTGTGACGACAGAGCACACGCCGCTGCTGCGGGACGCAGACACCAGCAGGGACGTCGTCTTGTGACACGCAACACCATTCATCGTGTCGAATGCGATTTCATCAGCAACCGAGAGGGAGGGGGGATTTTGCTTGCTTGGGTTGTTCGTATTGTTTGGATTGTGCCCTGGCTGTGTTCGCGTGGTCCATGGGTGTTTTGCTTCGTGTTACGCTCGCTCTTCTTGCTGCCAGATTGGTGACTAGGTTCGTTTTCGTGTGACTACAACACAACTGCAGTCAACACGCTCAACGCCAGAAAAAAATTGGGGGGGGGGGCAAGGGAGGGGAGAGACACTTGGGCACTAACGCGCGCGCGCGCACACACACACACACACACACACACACACACACACACACACACACACACACACACACACACACACACACACACACACCGAGCAAGCGAAAGCGAACAGAGCAGCGCCAGAAGAGTGGCGGGACATGATGTGGGTGTAACGTGTTGGTGAAGACGACACGGCACAACAAAAACAGCGGGTGATGTGATGACATCAAAAGGCAAACAAAAAAGAGCCGCGGGGCGAGCACACACGTGCGGGGCGGCGGCAGGAGGCGTGGAGCAGCAGCACGGGCCGTGCTTAGTGCTGCGTGGGCCTGAACTCCATGGACCATGGGCAGTCAGCCGGGTCCACGCACAAGGGCGCGTGAGAGACGACCTTGGCCGTCGACACGTCCACGCCAACAATGTCAAAGGGGGCGGTCTGGTTGTTGGACGACTGGAACTGCGCATAGATGACGCCGCTGCGCGAGTCGACGGTGACAATGTTGCCGTTGATGACGGAGTAGCCGGGCACGACGCCGATGCGGGACACGCTGCCCGTGTTGGTGTTGAGGCGCAGGAGGGTGCGGGCGCCCTTGCTGGCGTCGTAGCCAAAGCCAATCATCTGCTCGCGCTGGATGTCGTAGGAGAGGGTGTAGATGCCGTTGGTGTCTGGCTCCTTGATTGTCTTCTTGAGCGTGCCCGTGATGGCGTCAAAGCCCAGCAGGTCGAGCGAGATCTCGCCCGAGCTGTTGGCGGCAAACTGCAGCCAGACGAGGTTGTTGGTCTGGTCAAAGGCGTGCGCGCCACCGAGCACGTTGATGTAGCCGCAGTCGGCGAGGTGCTTTGTGGCGCCGGTGCGTGGGTTGACGCGGAAGAGGTGATGCTTGTTGTCGGCCTGGAGCCCGAGGCAGAAGACCTCGCCGTTGCTCTCGTCGACGTCCACGGCCTCGCCCACGCCAATCAGCGCGGAGCTCACAAACGGCAGCTTCACCTTGTTGGCGATGGTGCCCTTCACCACATCGATTCCAATCAGATCAATCTCCCTGTGTGTGAGAGTGTGAGCGTGAGATTGTGTGTGTGTGTGTGTGTGCGCGCGCGCGTGCGGTTGTGTGCGGTTGTGTGCGTTTGTGTGTGTCGGTGTATGTGACAACATTGGCTTGTGGGATCGAGGAAGCAAGGTGCGACGCACAAGACACGTTTTACATGACAGGCGTGCGCACGCATCTCACACCCGCAACTCACTGGTTTGTGAGGTTGAAGCCAAGCATGTAATAGATGCCCCTGAGCGTGTCCATGGAGGCGAGGTTCTGGGCCTGCGCTTCGTCAGGCAGGGGAGCAGAGACGGGAGTGGTCTTGCCGGTTGCTGGGTCAATCGTGACAAACCCAAGTGTGGAGTTGATGCCGTACATAATACCATCGGGTGCAGCGAAAGCTCTGATCGCTGCTGTTGTTGGCGCTGCGCCGCACGCCAGCACAACACCAACGACAACGGCGGCCAGCGTCGTCGCCGCCACTGGCGCTCCTTTCATCAGCTTCATCATCATCGACCTGCTTGCTTGTCTTCGCTCTCTTGCTTGCTTTGCTTGTTTGTCTTGTTGCTCTTGTCTTCCTTCTTGTTGGCTGGCGCTGTTGTTTTGGTTGTGGAGAATTGATGAATATCTTATGCAATAATTCTAGCCCAACGAATTTCACGTGTCGTTTTTCAACAATAATCGTCATCGACTATATTCAGTTGTTGGATATTTTGTGATGTCGTAATGCAATTTGTGTTTGCCCGATTCGCCACCACGATTCGCCACGATTCGCCACGATTCGCCACGATTCGCCACGATTCGCTGCTGTCCTTCCTGCCCTCCTTTGTGGTGGCGGAATGTGGGTGCACAACATGCAGCAAGCAGGGCCGTTGCTGCGCGAAGCATGCGGCTGCCGTGCATAGCTTCCATGCCAGTCGTGGTGCAAGACAACCAGCAAGGGAGGGGTGACGGTGGAACGGCGCTGGTTGGCTGGCCACACCACAACAACAATACACGCGGCGGCGTGCTGACCCTGAACGCGACCTTGCTTGAGCGAGCACTGCTGTTCCTTGCACCAGTCATCAACTGCAAGAGCGAGAGAGAGTGTGTGTGTGATAGTGTGCATGTGAGCGTGAGTGAGTGTGTCCTTTGACAAACGCTTTCGGACAAGCCAACCTGCAACAACAGCGCATACACCGCCACAGCATAGCACACCGCCACATACATACAAACATACAAACACACAACCACACGCCCATCTGCGTGAATCTTGCATCGGACAAGCAGACACAACAACCAAACGAGCCACAACATCAAGCAAGGTGCGTGTGTCTGTGTGTGCCTGTGTGTGCCTGTGTGTGTGTGTGTTAAGGTTATCACATGCGGCTTGGACCACAATCACATGCCCGTGTCATTTCATCGCCCTTGCTCGCACCTCACACACGCACACGCAAACACGCACGCACACGAACACAACACAACAACACAATACAACACAACACAACACAGAGCACATTCATTTCAACGTCACACAATTTGGCATGAGATTGCTGGTGGCTGTCGCCCCAGCGGTAGCACGACTGCTACTGCTGCTCGCGCTTGCGCTCGCGCCATGCACAGTGGTGGTGCAAGCGCTGGCCCAGGACGTGCAAAAGGAGGTGGTGGCCCAGGGCCTGCTGATCCCCACAGGGGCGCGCGTGCTGCCGGACCAGAAGCGCGTCATCATTGTGGAGCAGGTTGGCACCTTGCAGATCCTGGACCTGACCACCAACGCCAAGCAGACGTACATGACCATGAGCAACATCAACGCCAACGGCGAGAAGGGCCTCATGGACTGCATCCTCGACCAGGACTTTGAAACGAACAACTACTTCTACTGCTACTTCAGCCCCATTGCCCCCGAGGGCGTGCGCATCTCCCGCTTTACGCACGTGCAGAACGCCGGCGGCGCGTCAAGCCGCGGCGACATCAACTCCGAGTTTGTCGTCTGGCAGGGCGAGCAGCCGTACACGGGCGCAGACTACGCCTTTGGCACGGTGCACTATGGCGGGCAGCTGAGCTGGGGGCCCAACGGCCTGCTGTATGCAACGCTCGGTGATGAGACAAAGCGTGAGTGGGTGCAGTCCAACAGCAACGAGAACGGTGACCCGCGCCACAACGGCTGCATCATCCGTGTGCACAAGGACGGGCAGATCCCCGCCGACAACTTTGGCCACGCGCGCGGCGTGCCCGGGTGCTGGGCATATGGGCTGCGTAACGGGTTCCGGTCGTCCTGGGACATCCCCACAGGCCGCTTCTTCATTGCAGAGGTGGGTGGGAACGAATTCGCGCCCGACTACGACAACGCATGGGAGGACATCCACGTGCTCACGCCAAGCAGCAACGGCGAGAACCTCGGCTGGCCGCTGTGCGCGGGGCCTTGCGACAACCCACAGTTCCCCACCTGCAGCTGCGCAACAACCAACAACCCCATCTACACGTACGAACACACCGCCGCGCAGCGCGGGTGCGTCGTGGGCGGGTACGTGTACCGTGACAACGGCTTCCCGCAGGAGTACAAGGGCTCGTTCGTCTTTGGCGACTACGTGCGAAACTTTGTGCAGCTGCTGCAGTTTGGAGCGGACGGGAAGGTTGCCAACGTGAAACACCTGGACGACCTGGCGGGCCCCATTTCCATTGCGCCAGGCAACGACGGCTCCATCTTCGTGACCACCATTGCAGGCCAGCTTATCCGCTACTCGTACACGGGCGACCTTGGTGGCGTCACCACCACCACCACCACCACTGCCGCCGCCACCGACCCCGTCACCACAATGAACCCAATCACCACACCGGACCCAATTACAACACAGGGCGGTGGCGGTGGTGGTG